GGGGGGGGGGGGGGGGGGGGACGGGACGACACACACGTATTTTAGCAGCCGTCGTTATGGCAACGGGCCTCCCGAGCTCATCCGCACATGGTACCCGGGCGAGAGCCACGGGAGAGGCGGCCGAGGGATGCTCTCTCTCCTCCCGCATCATCCGCAGCCCGGGATGCAGCGCCCGGGGACCTGCTCTCCGCCGGGCTGAGGAGGAAGGATGGAGCTGAGGAGACGTGTGTGAGCTCGGGCTGATGGAGATTCGGGGGATTTTAAGGCTCCACAGCTTGACCGGTGTGCCCAGCCCTGCTCTGGGGTCTAGTGGCTTGTTGGCAGTGGGATGGAGACAGAGGGATGGAAGGGGAGGGAGGTTAGTACCCCCCTAATGGGTTTTGTGCAAAAAGAAAAGAATCAACACTTTGACCAAAAGTATCTTGCAGCAGTGCACAGAAAGAACATTGCTGTCTGAAGTAATATTTTTGCTTTCTGTGAAATACTTAGTTTCCTGCATCCATACCTGGCTCTGTCATCGCTGCTGCTGCTGACAGAAGCGGCTTGTTGAAGCATTTTCAGCTTTTCAGCAGCACAGAAATAGGAACAACCAAACTGTCTTGGGGTTTGGTTGGGTTTTTTTGGTTTGTCTTTTTTTTTTTTTTCTTTTTGCATACAGGGAAATTTAGATTTTCATTGTGACCCAGAAGTTGCTTAATGCAAAAATGTTTTAACAAAATCAACCAAATAACAGGCTGCAGCCCCAAGAGCTCCTTGCTCTCCTGCCTTTGGTCTCCAGCCCTGCCTGCTTAGTCTCTGACACAGCCCTGCAGGTGCACCATGGGGTGGTTGTAAATGAAGGCTTGCAGGGCTAATAGAATCCACCAAAATGTCTGAGCCTTGAATTTGTGCCCACTACGTACCCCAGGAGCTGAGAGGCATGAGGTTTGGCTTCTCAGTAGATTGTATTTCAGGCACAAATGGGTTTGTCCCCTACCCAAGGCAACCTGTGGATGGTGGCAGAGCCCGCGTGCACTTGGTGACTCCAAAAGGAATGCACCTGAGGGGTCTGTCACCTGGTCTGTGCTGGGGTTTCATCCATCAGTACGGAGAGAGTGCTGTGCTGGGAGCTGTGGGAGCTGGCTAGCAAGGTCTGTGATTTCCTCCTCATCCTCCTTTTGTCCTCCCGAGCCCCACTTCTGCTTGATGTAACTTTGTAATAGCTTAGAAGTGTTGAATATAGGCTTGTGATGCCCCCGTACCTAGCAGTATGTCTGCACAGATCCATTAGGATTATCTTGCTGCTTCTTGGTTTGCTTCAGCAAGGTGGGCACTCCAGATGATTGCTATGTGCCTCCTGAGAGGACCCTGCAATCATGCCTTAATTTTAACCTCACTGAAGTTCAGCCGTGATACCCACCTTGACCATCAGCACAGTAACTGCTTCACTAATCCCACTGCAGAGGGAAGAAAACACGAGCCTTGTGGTTTTGACTAGACTGGGAAAGAAATATGTAGTTTGGACAAACCAAAAGCTAAACAGATTTAAAAAAAAAAATAATGTTGAAAGGCTATTCTTTATTGTCTTCCCAGAGCAAACCCTAAGGGCAGGCAAAGATGCAGTAGACTTGAAAGGGCAGAAGGGAAACCACTTTCCGGGTATGCAAAGAAAATGAGAGGGAGACCAGAGGTGGCTGGCACAAGGCAGGAGACTGTTCATTTCTCCAGGAGACCAGTCAGTGACAAATCCAGGTGTCCTCAAGGTCATAATGCTAAAATGTGTAAGATCCACCCCCCATCACCAGCCAACTGTCACAACTCTGTCATAGGTCACCCTAGGGGGACATCAAAGCCGGTGTGTGTCCATCAGGCTGCAACTTCTCCCCAGGTTTAAGCTCAGGCTTAAAGCTAAAGTGCTGTTCATGCAGCCAAAACCCCAGAACAGAAATAGTTTTGTCTCATGGGGTCATTTTTTTCCCCTGGTTCACTTCTCTGCTCTGCAAACACTGGGAGGGTACAGTGAGGAGTGGGGATCACCTCTTTCCACAGCCACCACCGCACTGGTGGGTTTGTGGAAGTCATGACATGGCTTGCTTCAAGCAGAACTTCCCCAGCTGAGTTCAAAGCACCCTTGGAGGCAGCAGGAAACGAGGACTGGGCTTCGTGCTGCCGGGGCTGGGACACACTCGCAGGCCCCCTGCTCCCATGGTGGCATCAGTGCCACGACAGCCACTTGCTGCTGGTGAGAGAGCTCTCAGGTGCTGTCACATCCTTTGGTTTCCAACGAGAGCTGCAGCGTCGAGACGGCTCCAGGCATCAACGTGCCACGTACACCTCAAACCGCATGGAAACGCTTCAGCTGCAGCTCAGCTTTCACTACGAATAAGGCTGCCGTGTGCCACAGCATCTTCCAGGCGTGAGCGTGTGCATATCATCCTGCCCGGTGCCGGGGGGGCTTCCAGCCTCGTCCACCTGGCTTGGAGGAAGCTGCTGAGCAGCTGTGCACACACGAGCCCCTCAGATGCCATTCACCCTGGGATACTGCCCACCACCAAGCCTCTGTCTCCCTCTCTATCTCCGGGCAGGCACAAATTCACCTGCGCGATGGAGGTGAGCATGGGGTCAGGTTTGACATGAGAGGGCCACCCAGCCAAGAGCAGAAAGCATGAAACCCTTCTCAGACAAAAGCCCTGGGTGGAGAAAGAGGAGATAGTTGGGCAACCTCAGGCACATGCTTCCCGTTTGTAACATGCCCATAAATCACAACAGGAATGACATACTGATCTTCGCTTAATCCCAAGCCTGATTAAGTGTAATTCCAGTTTTTCCTAACAAGTTTCCTCAGCTGTTCTTTAGTCTCTTTTAGGCTTTTATCGGCTTCTTCTGAGACGATCAGACACAAGTCTCTGCCTGTCTTTCAGGTAATACCAGTCCCCCAAATACTATTCTCCCAAGGCAGGTAGAAGCATGGGAGAAGATGGACTTTATCAAACTAGCCTCCCCCAAGGTTCTCAGTAGAGGACAAAACTCTAGCAAGAGTCACAGAAATTTACTTCCCTGCTCAACTGCTGGAAGTGAGAGCGCTGCCGTAAGATGCAGAAGGCACCCTGGATGAAGGGCAGGACATCAGCCAGACAATCCTGCGTGAAAGCAGAGTAACCTCTTCCAGGTGCTACTGTAGCTTCAAATAAGGAAATTCATTTGAGAAGCTTTGCTGAGTTGATCAAAAAGCTAAGGAAATGTGTATGGGGAGTTAAAGAGCAGAATGGAAAAAGCTGGCTTACTTTGGGTCTAACAATAGCTGGAGAGAGCCTTTGCCAAGGGAAGCTGAAGCTGCCAGCAACATATGTGGAAATGTCATTAGCTTCCCTAATAAACTGCACTTGCTGCAAATGATATAATTTTTGTCTGTTAGTGAGAGAACAAACGCAATCAAATACACGCGAGTTTGTATTCTGCATGCTTTCGGGCAGCACTGCAAGAGGTCAGCTCGGAGCCAGCGATGCTTGGCCAGGCAACATCTCACAAAACTCATGCTGAACAGGGCTGGGATGAAGCCACCACTGCCAGAAAGTCTGGCAGTGGATGCTGAGACAACTGGGACCACGCTGGGGTCAGTGCTGCTCCTGAGACCATCTCCAAAGCCTGTCTCCATTGCTCCTCTGGTTGCTCAGGGAGAACCAAGAGAGAAATCAGAGAGGCAATATCCCAAGATTCTGTCACCAGCCCACTGGATGAAGCAGATGGCAAATTGCCCAAGGGTACATGATGGCAAGATATGTTGTACAATATTTTTTGTAGTGGACAGTGCTGTCTTGCTGCAGGAGCAACTGCACCATTCCCAGGAAGCGCTGGTGATGGCCGGACCAAGTCTCACTGGTGCTAATTGCCTTCATTGGCAGCACCAAGGTACCTTCACATGGGCTACATTACACTTCTACTCATTTTTGGAATGGTTTGTGCTACCAGAGCAATGTAAAACGGCCCAGAGTAAAATGAGGAGCTCTCCTCTTCCATATCATACCCTGCTCTCGCCCCTTCTATCTGCACTGAGGGCCAGTGCACTGACACCCTTCCTTCAGCTCTCCCGCACCACTTGGAAGCAGAGACCAACTCATTATTCCCGCTTTGCAAACTGGAAATGGGGCAGAGAGAGGTGAAGCAGTCTGACACAGTCGCGCAGTGATATGTAAAATACACCCCAGCCTCCAACACCAACCACGTCTCATCCCTTTCCCTTCCTCTCCTTGCCGAGCTACAGATTTAGACAAGAGCTGCAGGCACACTGCCAGCCTCAGTCTCCACCTCCTTGTGCCATTGTCTACCATGAAAAACAGTTTTTAAATGCTACCCTTTGACATCAGATCTGTTTTACATGCCTGAGCCCATTGGTAAATAGTCAATAAGGGTGCGGGACGATGAATCCTATTCTCTCTCCTGGTTCTCCACAGAGCTGAGCTTGCTCTGCAAGCTTTGCATCCCCCCACGGAGCATCCCTGCCTGTGTTTCAAAGATGAAGGAAACCAAAGTGAATCTGCCTGGCACAGCTCGTGGTGCCAGCTGTTGGGCAATGGTTTTGCATCCCAGGAGGAAATCAGCTGTGCCAAAGCCGGTATTTTCAGGCAGCACTACCACTGCTCCCCTCCGGGTCACCCTCGGGTGAGCTGTGTGGAAGGTGGCTGTCAGCCTTGCAGAGGGAAGTCTGCCAAGGGACAGCCAAGAAATCTGCTGGGATCTCAACAGGCACTGGTGTCACCAGAAACCTGCAGCGAGAGAGGGGACAGCAATATGTCCTTGACTGGATACCAAAGCCACCCAGGTCCTTCTGCAGGGCCAGAGAGCAGGCAATGGGGACAACGAGGGGGATGAAAGAGGAAAAGCACCTTTTAGGCAAGTGCTGCAGCCTTTAGTGTATTTCTACACCCTCAGCAGCCCAAAAACAGCATTGTCCAAATTGCTCTCTATGCCCCCACCCTCATCTGGGAGCTGGCTCTCGTTATTTATTGCATCTGCCTGCCTCCCATCTTTAGGACACATCTGCCCTGGATTCATCCTCCCTTCCCCCCCGCCAACAACAACCAGAAATATCCTGTAATCTCTTCTGCTTCACCTGTAATTTGTCTCATGCTGGCAACGAGCGGAACCGTCTGCCTTTGTCAAGATCAAAAAAGCCACGGCAGCCATGTGATGTCAGCTTACATTAAAGCCCCCTTTTCTTCCCTCCGCCTCCCCTCTCTGGCTTGCCACAGAGGGGAAGAGGCATCTTCATCCTCCTGCAGCCTGCTTCCTCTCCCCGGCAGGTCTCCTGCCATTTGGAGAGGTGCCCCTGGTTGAAGGGGCAGGGAGAGCCAGCCCCAGCTGGCAGCTGAAGGGGTCCTGGACCCCCCTCCACACTGAGCTGGAGCTGAATCCTGGGGATGATGTGAAGAGCAAGAGATGCAGCAAGGTGGACCAGAGGCCACCAAGGGACATTGGACCTCCGAGGGCTTTACATCACTGCATGTCATCATCCTGCTCTGACCTTGGAGTGAGGAAAGCTCAGCCTACCTCCATAAGTGCCACACTGCTGCAGGGGCTCCTTCCTGCCTGTTTCATGGGCAGGGGAGCACCAGGCTGGGCTGAGGTTGAGGGAGAGAGTGCCCAGGAAAGGGTAGGATGGAGGCTGGGGCTGCTGGAGCTGCCACAAAACCTTCCAGAGGACAATTCAGTGTACAAAGCCAGGCGCTGCTGCTGTATGCTGTTAGGAAAATTCCCTTCCCTATTATATCAAGTTGTACGACAGGAGAGCTGGAGAGGGACTCCTTGTCAGGAGGTGTAGTGACAGGACAAGGGGTAATGGTTTTAAATTGGAAGAGGGGAGATTTAGATTAGGTATTAGGAAGAAATTCTTCACTGTGAGGGTGGTGTGAGGCACTGGAACAGGTTGCCCAGGGAAGCTGTGGATGCCCCATCCCTGGAAGTGTTCAAGGCCAGGCTGGCTTTGAGCAACCTGGTCTGGTGGGAGGTGTCCCTGCCCATGGCAGGGGGGTTGGAACTCCATGATCTCTAAGGTCCCTTCCAACCCAAACCATTCTGTGATTCTATGACAGTGTATTAACTTTGTTAACATACTATCATTCACATCACACACCACGCTGCAAGGCGTAACGGAGCTTTACTGGGGGCTTTGGTATCGCTCGGGCTTGAGCGAACGAACAGACACCAGCTCATGGCACGGACCATGGGGACGGCCCGGCTCCGGACACAAGGACTTTGCTTCTCGGAAGTTTAGGGCCGTCCAGGACACCATCGGGTGCCGCCGGACCGGCTGATTCCCCCGGGGGCCGGGGTGCCGCAGGAGCAGGGCTGCTCCGCGGGGCTTCACCGCCACCGGCCACCGGTCCCGCAGCGCCGTGCCAGGCCCTGCAGCGCCCCCTGCCGCCCGCTCCCCGCCCGCCCCTCTCCTCAGGCCTCGCCCCCTCCCACCCCCCGGAAGGCGCTGCGTCGGCGCGGGGCGGGGCGGGGGTTTGAATCCCGGCGGGCGGGCGCTGCTGGCTGCCGCGGACATGTCGGTGCTACGGCCCTTCGACAAGCTCCCGGCCCTCAACACCGCCGTCCTCCTGGTAGGTCCGCCGGCGGCAGCGGCACCGCGCCGCCCCCCGCTATCCCATCCCATCCCGGGGTCCGGTCCGCCGGTCCCGCGCGCTCCGCCTCAGTGCAAACGGCCGTGCGCGGGGACAGGCCGCCTGCCCGCTGTATGTAAACGCAGCCCCGGGGGCCGGCACCGCTCCATCCCCACACCCCCCCAGCCCCGTCGCGGTAGCGGGCCCCGGGGCTGCCCCCGGCGCCTCCTGGGCGGCCTCTGACCGTGCTTTTCCCCTCTCCTGTCCGCGCAGCTGGTGGGTTCGGACGAAGGCCTCCAGCGGAAGCTGGCGGAGGCGATGCTCCGAGAGAAGAAGAGCTTCAAGATAAGCATGTGAGTGGCGGGGGGG